AAAACCATCCATTTGGTTTAAGCAGTGGGAGGGGTGTAAAAGGATAAGCATTATCCTTAGGGAGTATGAATCCTAGGAGGACTCTGCATGGAGGAATACAAGTCCAACTAGGATTGTGCCACTCGAAACCTATAAAAAGCTCCAAACATCACTTGGAGGAGTAACACACAATTTTTCTGAGAACATAGAGCTTTGTCTATTTGTCAAGTTTTCTGATCTTGGCATCGAGAGGTATCGGCACACACCCGCCGGCTAGCTTCACGTTTGTGTTTTTCAAGGTGAGAAAGCGACGCGTACGGAGGAGCGTGGACTTGGTCAATAGGATTATACGAGAAGGCGTATTTTCTTTCCCGTACAATTGGCGCCGTCTGTGGAAGAACAGACAAGAACAAAAACCTCTTTACCAAACTTCTCCTTTTTTTCAATCAATGGCACACATTGAAGAATTGCCGCAGTCCGCCGTCGACGGGCTACCCCAGATGGAGGCGCAAGGCGTGAAGGATTACCTCCTATCCCTCCCATGGCGGACTTGGAGCCTTAACGATATAACTCCCGAGGGATGGTAGGGGAAGACGAACTAACAGCCCCCGTCACTCTCGTCACAAAGTCCAGACAGGCAAAGGAGGAGGATTGATCCTCAAGCTCTGGAAGAACGCGTAAAGGAGCAGGATGAATTAATAAGAAAGATGGCGGCGGACATGGAGGCCTTGAAACGCCAGATAAAGAAAAAAGAAAGTGGCGACAGGAGAGGGGTGCAAACACAAGACGTCCCCTCGCCACTCAGAAAGTCATGATAGGAATACCACACCCTCGCAAGGAGAGAGCAGAAGCCTCAGGACAGGCGACACCCATTCCTTATCTTTCCAGAACTGTTCACTCCAGGTCTGAGAGGACGAGATCTGAGAGATCATACACGGAAGGAACACGTATTGGCCCTCGCACTCACACCAAACCAGATCTAGACAGACAGAATTACCCAGATCATCCGACTTACGAAACCGTGCTCGAAGAAAAAGCACGATGCAAGGAGGATGCCAGGGCAAGGGATCCACATAGAGTTTCAGCCTTAACAGCGGTTGGCTCCTCGGACGCATGGAAGCGTCGAGGTTGGAATGCCATACCGCGACCGGCCTACGAACCAACGGACAAAGCATTTGCAAGACTACAGACTTCGCCGTTTGTTCCAGCAATCGAAAACGCGCCCTTACCATCAGGCTTCCTTCAACCGAAATTCACTACATATGAGGGAAGACAGACCCATATTCACACTTGAGCCACTTTCGCCAAGTTCATGGCCGTATACAGGCGAAACGAGGCCTTAATGTGCATATCTTCCCATCAAGCCTTGGCGACCTCGGCTTGAACTTGGTTCGAGAAGCTCCCAGAGGGCAGCATCTGGGCTCAGCTGGCAGAAGCATTTGTAACAAGGTTTCGAACAACACTAAAACACGGTGGAGATAGACCAGTTACTCTCCATCGATATGGGGGATAAAGAGACCCTTAGATACAACAGTCGCTACTGGGAACATTCAATCAGATTGGGGACTGCCCATCAATCTTGCCATTGCGCAGTATAAAAGAGGCCTTCCAGTAGGGAACAGGACTAAGGGATTCGATCACATGAACCACCCCTCCCATGGAGGCCCTGATGGAAAGAGTGGATCAGCACATCAGGTAGAAGAGGATGGCGCACGTGCCAAAGCAAAATCTAGTGCAACTGCAGTACCAGAAAAGAAGACCTCAGCAAAGGTCAATGCAGTAGATCGGCAGAATAAAAACGGCGTGGCAGACGAGACAACGGAGAAGACCCAGACAAAAGATGGTTGAGAATCCGCACTGCCATAACAACGGTGTTCAAAAAACCAATAATATCGGATTCTGAGAGCGAAATAAGAGATGAGGCCTTTTGTCAATGTTGGTCCAGCCTAGCTTAGGGGAAGCTCAGAAAGACTACGACGACAGATCACGGTGCACCTTCCACAAAGAAAAGGGCACCGAACTGAGAATTGCACACCCGTTAAGACAACACTTGGAAGAGTTGGTGGCAGCAGGCCACTTGGACAAATATATTGAAAGAGGGACGCAACCAGCCCTCCAAGATCATAATAACCATCCCAACGGAATGCCAACCGATGCACCGCCTCAAGGTATTATCAATGTCATACATGAGTTTTTGAACCTGAGCACGTATGCGAGCTCAGAGGGTCAATCAAAAAGGCTGAGCACTTTAGAGAAGTGCTAGGTGCCCAACCTACACCAAGAAAGGGAAGACAGAGGCAACAAACGTCATGTCTTTTTCGCGATAAAGACCTGGATCGAATATACTGTCCTCACAATGATGCTCTGGTTGTCACTCTCCGAGTCAAAGATTTTGACGTCAAGCGGATTCCTGATCGACCAGGGTACTTCATGTGAGATCATGTACTACGAAACATTCAAACAGTTGAAGCTGCAAGACAAAGACTTGGCGCCTGCAGTTTCTCCCTTAATTGGATTCAACTCCATGCCAGAATGGCCCGTCGGCAAAATAATTCTTCCGGTCAGAGCAGGAAGCGTAACAAAACAAGTGGATTTCTGGGTACTGAAGGTCCCCTCCACTTACAACATCATCTTGGGCAGAACATGGCTGCATGCCATGCGTTCGGTAAGCGTCATTATACCATCAGGTAATCGGTTTCCCAACGACACCGGTATAATTGAAGAAGTCTATGGAGATCAGATCATGTCAAAGCAATGTTTCGCCACGGTGAATGGCAGCCGCGCTGCCAAAGGATATGTTCATTCGGTGGAAGAACCAGAAAGTAATGAACTATTCGCGGACGTCGGTAAAGAGGCTGATCAGAAAGCGGTGGAGGACTTGGTGGAGGTTAAAATAGATGAGAAGAACCCGCGATAAGTTCTTCTTGCTTGGCTCATCGTTGTCCAGCGCTGAGAGATTAGAGGTCTTGGAATTC